AAAATCTTCACTCTAACTCTACTATATATAATACAATACTCTTACTTATTCAGGAAACAATAACTCTTAATCAATACGAACAACTAAAACCTAGTTTAAAAAAACTAACAAACAACTTCCTTATCCTCCTATCTAACTCTCTACTCAACTGGTTTAACTCTACTATTTGGCAAACCTAAAATACTAAATAACATAAATAGGAATTAGTACAAGGAATTACTGCTTTAACAAAAAAGAAAAACAACATTTGATTACTTATTTTACAATTCTTAAACTCTTCTAATACTAGCTTTATATTTGATACTAATATAGATCCTTTTATTCTTAAAACTTTTATTTAAAACTTCACTATATATAACTGTTTTTATTAATTTAAATAACCTTAAGGGCTCCTTTTACCCTTTTCTATAGTTAATGATTATAATAGTTGACTTAACTAATATAGATAACCAAAGAATAATATCACACTAGATGTTATTAATATATAGCAACAATAGTGTAATTTTAGGAATAATTTCTATTTATACATTTATATCCAATTGATATACCTATGTATTATTAATTTTCTTATTTGATATTATATAAATAAAAAAATATATATATATATTCAGATATTATTCAATACTTGATTATGAAGTTTAATATGGTTTAATTTTTGATTATGAGACTGGTTATAATATGCTTTAATTTAATATTTAGATATTATTTAAGGCTTGATTATGAAGTTAAATATAGTTCAATTTTTTGATTATAAGACTGATTATAATGTACTTTAATTTAATATTTAGATATAATTCAATAATGAAGTTGAATATGGTTCAATTTTTTGATTATGAGACTAATTATAATGCATTTTAATTTAATTTTCAGATATGATTCAATACTTGATTATGAAATCAAATATAGTTCAATTTTATATTCAGATATGATTCAATGAAATCAAATATAGTTCAATTTTATATTTAGATATGATTCAATACTTGATTATAAAATCAAATGTAGTTTAATTTTTTGATTATAAGACTAATTATAATGGCTTTAATTTAATATTCAGATATAGTTCAATGTTTGATTATGAAACTAATTATAATCACTGAATTTCTTTCAAATTTGATGCTATCAGATACTAAACTTAAACTTACTGAATTTAGCTAAATGGTTATCTAAATTTGAGAGTAAAAATCAGAAATACTAAATTTTATTAAAATTTGGTGTTATTTTTGTGATGTAAAAATCGGAAAGAACTAATTTAGATTAAATTAATATAAAAATTAAAATAGTTGAATTTTATTAAAATTTAGACTCTGAATTTTTGATTAAATTTAGATTGAATTAATGTAAAAATTAGAATAATCAAATTTTATTAAAATTCAGACTCTGAATTTTTGACTAAATTTAGATCAAATTAATGTAAAAATTGGAATGATCAAATTTTGTTAAAATTCAGGTATTGAATTTTTGGTTAAGTTAGATTAAATTAATATAGAATTTAGTATAATCAAATTTTTATTAATTGAATTTTAAAAATTGGCTGATTTTTTGCCAAATATTATTGTAATTTGACTTGATCAAATTTCTAGTTTTTGATTAGTGAATCTTAAGTTATATTATTTTAAATAGTAACTTAGAATATTTATATAAAGTATAATAGTATATATATATTAAAGAATATTAAAAAAACTAGATTATATAAGACTTTAGTATAAATATATAATATGATCATTAAGTACAATAAACTAAAAAATTAAAAAATTAAAAGTTTATTTAAAAATTTCTAAGTAAAAAAAATAGTATAAACTTTTAACAATAATATTAACCTAATGAAAACTTTGAAACATTCTTTAAAAAGATAAATAAATAAACTAAACAATAAAGTATATAAAAAAAATATAAATATCAATTAAGTTACTAGATTTATAAAAGAATATATAATATAATATATTAAGTTATTTAGATTTGTAGTTTGAAAAATTTTGTCAATCTTAAATAAAAAAAGTTTAGTAAAATAATATATTATAAAAATAAATATTAAAATTCTAATAAACTTTATAAAATAAAGAATAATATGAGAGAAAGTCAATAGAAAAGGAACTAATTTTTTTTAAATAAAAATTTTCTTAACTTCAAACTTAAATATTTTAACAATTATTTTATTAAATTTGATAAATTTTTTTTTATTTTAATTTTATATAATTTCAAGACCTGAATAAAAAATTTTTTAGCAGATTTAATTAAATAGTTGTTGAGTTATTTAAATTTAAATTTTTAAAAAATTTTACTAAAAATAATTTGTCTTTCTTTTATTGACTTTCTCTCATATAATACATATAATAATTTAATAAGTAATATTTGTAATTACAAGTGTTAGTTTAACTATAACATAATATATAAAATTAGGTTAACTGTATATAGAACATAGAAGGTTCTAATAAGTTTTTTATTAAAAATAAAAATAATTTTAAAAATAATAATATATATTAGATACTTTAAATAAGTATAACTTTGAAAATATTATTGTGAAACAGGATAGATTATATATACAAAGGATTTAAATAAATAAGACTTGTAGTTGACTTGCAAGTATGACATTTAATATATAGATGAATTACTTAAATTAGGCACCAAAAGCACACATGTGATTAGTTGCGACCTTCTATATAAGAATGCTTCTAGAAACATCTGTATCTAATAAACTTAAATAAAACATTACTTTTCGAAGACAGAAACTTCAACTTAAAAAAAAAAAAAGTAATTAGTACAACTTCATGATGTTTGTAATTTGTATATAATATAATGTAATATATATAGCAAGAATGTTTCTATATAATATATGTACTTAATAAAATTCAGAAATACAGGTTTACCTTAATATTAACAAAAAAAAATTTTTAAATATTCAATATACTTTTCTTCAAAACTACTATCTACAACTATTACATATTTTTATAACCAATTAAGTTCAAAAATTCTATAAAAAGACTTTAATAATGTTACATATTTATATTCTATTAGTCAAACCTACTACTATGTAACAGTTTACATAATCATACTTTACTACTAAGATCTGTTTCTAATTTTTTGTTACCTCATCTAATCTTTGTCAATACTAGTTTGACCTGAATCGGCGAAGCAACGGGTTACATCTAGTCTAGTCTTTATTAACAAAATTAGATTGTTGCATATTCGTGCGCGTAAAAATGTATCCCACGCCAAAATTTATCTAGATCTTTTGATTTTCGTCAGCAAAGGCTCATATGGCCGGTGCTCCAGCCGCTTTCATATGAGTGCCGTCAAAGAAAATTTGTCATCAGGCTTTCATATTTTTTATCTAGTTTGTTCTCTGAGTGCCGTCTAGGGAAAATCACTTTCAATTATATTTTGTGGCAAGTTATTATAAGTATAATTGAAGGTCAGATGATAGACATCACTCAGGAAACAAACTGACACGAAAGTCTGATAATAGGTTTCCCATTGACGGGACTCATTTTTTCCAGTAACCAAATCGATAAGTTATCAAATCAGAATTTAACGTTAGCTGATGTCAAGACTTATAAATTAATAAGTATCCTGCATAACATGTTTGCAGCGTTTATTCCATACCATATAACCCGTTGTATAGTTACGTTTATGAGTCAAACATCATAATGTAATTTATACTATATATAGTCAGACTCGTCATAGTCACTCTTGATATAGTCACAACTAGAGTTGCTGGTAACTAGTGAAATTTAATACAAATCAAAATTTAGATAATCATAACATATTTAGTTTCACCAGCAACTATAGTCGCAACTATACTTGCCGGACAAATCCCAAACCCCCAAGAAACAAATTGCTTTTATAAAAAATTAAATCAACAAAATGATTGATATTTTGTAAATATATTATATATAGCTATAAAAATACGTATACGTATATTGTTTTTTTTTGAATAAAGATTATTAATAAAGTTTTTGAGATATTAGTTAAACCCCAACTATAATAGTTTGGATTTGGTCGACAAGTATAGTCACAACCTTGTTATACGTAGCATACTATTTGTTAGTATATAATAGCGATAGCTATTATGTGTATAGATTTTAACCTTTATATAGTCACAACTTGTTATAATCACTAATTTTTGTTTCCCGACCTGGTGATTACATCAAGATCTGATTGTTAAATTGTACGTACCGTATCCCCTCTACTTCATTTTTTGAATGCGGAAATCACAATGAGATATTTAGCATAAAAATATATGTATCGATATTATAGTACTAATTTCAATTTAATCTAACTTTTTATTAAGATTTGTGATAAAGAAAATGGTGGATGGGACAGTACTTTACCATGCCTATCTTCATTATAATTTTCCCACGGTACTATTTGTGACCAGGAATCTTTATATGTACGTACAGAAAGTTTCCAGTCACGATATAACCGCGTGGAAAAGTCATGAAAGCCACTTACGATGATACTCGGGTACTCATAAAAAATGTATTAATCCGATGAGTTTTGGCTATTTTTAGCCATGATTTACTCGGGTCATTCTACCCCAATAACTGGGGTGTTAGCCTGCTTTACTTAAATGGCTTTTAATTTCGCTCACTAATCACAGGTACGTACATACATACGTACGTACGTAGAAAGTATGGATATTAGCTGTTAGATATGATATTGATGTGCAAGAACAAACTAACAAACATTAGCAGACCTACGTATTCATTATACGATTACCTATTTGGGACTGTCTAAAGCGAACAGTTTTAGAAACAATTTCTCGTTATAAATTAAACATGTGACACATAAAATATTACAATGCTTTATTTAAACGGCCTCCAAAATACCAAAATAGGAAAGCGGGGAATAATCAAATCACAATTGATTGTGTTTTACAACCCGGGTATAATTTATATAAAAGACCCTTTTTTAGATTGGTATGTAACTAATTGCAGATTTTTTTTTTCAAGTTAACTGGTTTCATAAGAATAAAAAATACACCTTCGAAAAAATTCAAAAATATGTCTGATAGGTTAAGCAGTCAAGAATTCAAAAATATGTCTGATAGGTTAAGCAGTCAAGATTTGATCAAACTTGAACACACTTATGGAGCCCACAAGTAAGTTTTATAATTAAGTAAAAAGCCGAAATAAATTTATCAAACATAGATCGATTAAATATCTTAATTCACGTATTAGTTACCATCCGATTCCTATAGTCTTTTCCAAGGGTGAAGGTGCTTTTGTGTGGGATCGAGAAAATAATATGTATTTAGATTTCTTGTGTGCCTATTCTGCTGTAAACCAAGGTCATTGCCACCCAAAAATTGTAAAAGCCCTTTGTGACCAAGCTCAAAAGCTTTGCTTGAGTTCTAGGGCGTTTTATAACGATGTCTTCGGGACATACGCAAAATATATCACTGAGGTAGAGCATTAAGGTTTTCGAGTTTCTTATTGGCTCTTTCGTTTAACATTATGTCTCTGTAGTATTTTAATTACTCAATGGTACTTCCGATGAATACGGGAGCTGAGGCCGTGGAGACGGGGATCAAACTTGCTCGTAAATGGGGTTACCTTAAGAAGAATATCCCAGAGAATGAAGCAATTATATTAACTTGTGAGGGGAACTTTCATGGTCGTACCACAACAGTAATATCTATGTCGTCCGATCCGGACTGTCGCGTAGGGTTCGGTCCATATATGCCACTAGTTGGACCTGTTTGTCCAAAAACTGGACGGACAATAAAATATAATTCAATTGAGGATTTAGAGGCTGTGTTGGAGGCAAATCCGTACGTAGCAGGCTTCTTGGTAGAACCTATTCAAGGAGAAGCAGGGTATGTTTAAATTGTATATATACATATATATATATATATATTCATGAATTTAAACTTTAATTATTTACACATTATATTACTATCGTTATTAAGCGTAAATGTACCTGACGACGGGTACCTGAAAAAGTGCTCAGATCTCTGCAAAAAATATAATGTACTCTTGATCGTGGATGAAATTCAAACAGGTTTAGGTCGTACTGGCAAGATGCTTTGTCAGGAATATGACGGAGTTAGAGGTGATATTATCCTGCTAGGAAAGGCACTTTCCGGTGGAGTGTATCCTGTTTCCGCCGTCTTGGCCGACAAAGAAATCATGTTATGCATCCAACCTGGTGAGCATGGTTCTACTTACGGTGGTAATCCATTGGGTAGTGCGGTCGCAATTGCCGCACTTGAAGTAATAAAAGATGAACATTTAGTAGAAAGAGCTGCTTCGCTAGGAGAAATGTTCCGCGAAGCTATTCGCCAAATTGATTCGCCACTTATTAAATGTGTTAGAGGTCGGGGATTACTAAATGCTTTAGTAATCAATGAAGGCGTATGCGACAAAAACGCATGGCATTTATGCCTATTACTCAAATCACGTGGTTTGTTGGCGAAACCCACTCATGGTAATATGATTCGCCTTGCACCAGCTTTAACCATCAAGGAAGAAGATCTGATGAGGGGAGTTAAGATTATAGAAGAGGCATTGAGAGATATCGTTGCCATGAACGTTAATGATATTCCAGGATATCTGGAAGACTTAAAATTATATGAAAAAAATTAGAGTTTGGAACCGGGCTATAGCAAACCGGTTACTCGTGTCAAAACGGTTCAACCGGATCAAAACATTTGAATATGTAATCTAAAAATCTGTTATTATTATTATGCAGAAACATAAAATTTAAACCATTATTGTTGTATTGTAAAAATAAACCAACTTTCGGAGGCTACCATACGACTATTTATTAGTAATTCGTAGCCGGGATTCGAGTTATGCAACGTGATTGCGTTGCATGAATTGCATAAAATTAATTAAAAGTATAATATATCAATTTATTACGCTATTACGAAATGATTTCCTTAGTTATTTTATTACATATTTTTGTACTTAGTTAAAAGTTATGATTACATTTATGTACGTAGTGATTTCTAGCTTGAGCCTAATAGAAAAACTATATAAAAGGTCAATAGGGATAGATCTCTTTTGAACTTTTAGTACCTTCGATAGTTTTCTTTTATACTCTTCGATATATTTCATTGTACCTTCTGTCGCTCATTACATTATGCTTATCTGAGCTATTTGTGGCAGTGTATTGATGGATTGATTTGAGGGTTGTCGTGAAAGTTATTTACCTCCCAACTCATTTCCCCGATACTGTTGTAATGCCGACATGTTTTATCTACAACACTTTTTTTTTGATAAGACATACGTATATTTGACATTGCATGTTTTCGACAATCCTTTCTTAGACAAGACATTTCCACGACATAAAATTGGCCCGATTTAGCTTTGGGTTGACCGATATAGAGTTAGTGTTGGTTAGAATTATATGTTGGAAAATAATTGTTGGAAAAATATCTTGTCCAAGAAAAGGGTTGTCAAAAGTATGTAATGTTAAATATATGTCTTATCGAAAAAATGTGCTGTAGATGAAATAGCATGTCAGCATTACGGTGTCAGAGAAATGAGCTGGCAGGTAAAATAACTTTCGGGAAATCATGCCATAACCGATTTGAGCTCTCTCCATAATAACCAACGTACCATATAGTGCTACATATAGTACCGGGGAGACCCGATTTTTTAAATAAATTAACAACTTTATCCGAGAATATTATTCGACGATAACGATATAAAACCGGCAACGAGTACGACAAAGAGAGAATACACTAACTGCACCATCGTTCCTAAGTTTATGTCTGTGACTCTGCATTAAATTGATGTCGAGTCATAAAGTCTCCCAGGCCACAACACTATTCTCACAGGTTTGTATTTATTCTATCGTATTATTTTTTTCATGCTTATTGTCCGGATCTCAGATTCGAACTGAATTAATTTTTTATTTTATTTTTCGAATTCCACCTTCAAAATTTAAAAAAAAACTAGTCTTCCATAATTCTCGCCGTCAAACCATTTTCAATCGGTTTACCGATTTCAGATCCGGTTGACGATTTTGAATCTGGTTCGGAACTCTAATGAAAATAGCTCATAAACTAGAAAACAGGAACCGTTGAGGTCTGGAATCCTAGTATTCTATTATTTCATTTTTATGCACTATACATGTGACCGAAGCCCTCGGATTTTCGAACCTAGTTTCAGTTTCGGATTTCATTAATTTTCAGTCAAGAATGATCATTTCCAAAATTAAAACCTTTGATCAAAAGGCTAACTAAAGTCGAATCTAATTGAAGTTTTTATACATGAATTGAAATTCTAAATAAAGCATTGTATAGTAGTTGAAATTCTTAAGATTACAATAAATAAAATTAAATATTTTTAAAATGAAAATTTTGTTATGATTTTTTTTTTTAAACAAAAATTGTTATCAAAAAAAAAAAAAATTTTTAATTAAAAAAAGTGTTAAAAAAAATGTAGATAAATATCTTTCTAGTGAGGTATGGAATTAGTTTTTAAAGAAAGATGAAACACCTAAAAAGAGATACTATTATGTAACATGTTCTTTTTGTAATCAATATTGGGTTCTTGTTAAACCAAATAAACTAAAAATGCATTTTACATATGAATGTTAAAAAGTTAATTTAGATACTAGAATTAAAGTTTCAATATTATTGATAAATGATTGTATTAATTTAGATAATAATACAATTTCAACATTGACTACAACAAATAAAACATAAAAGTTAAAAAATAATATTAATATTAATAATAAATATAAAAATATTTTTTTTATTAGATAAGAAAGATCAAATTAATAAGATATTACTAAAAATGATCATGTATTGTAATTTATTTTTTATTATTATTAAGCATTTATTTTTTCAAAAATATGTTAAAGTCTTATATAATATCTATTTTATTCTAAGTTATTGAATTTTATTAAATATTTTTTTAAATCAAGAATTTGCTTAAGTAAATTTAAAAGTTAGATGCTTTTTTAATTAAAAAACTAATCTTACAATTATATTCAATAAGTGAACTAACTTTACAAATAGTGTTATATACTAGTTAGTTAACTACTTTTATATTTTTTTTTTTTTTTTTTTTTTTTTTTTTATAATGCCAAATCGTAACCTATATTTTATTAGCTTTTTGCATTACTAT